TGTTGTCTGGGCTGCTCGCCCGTTCCCGCAGCAGGGCTTGGGTGCTCTCAGGAGTCCTCTTCTGTGTCGGCCCCAAAACCTCAAACCTGCTGCCACTTGTTTGTCGATGTAGGATCGTTGTTGAAAGAATTATTCGCCTTTTGTTGCTCTTGGAAATGCAATCAATACTCTGGTATCACAGTGCACGGCTCACAGGATCGCGCTGTCTCCTGTCACAGCTGCTCCAGACCCGTCGCCATCTTAGAATCTCAGTGTTCTGAGCTCGGCAATGAAGGATCACTGGGGACAGGAAAAGGAGATGGCCGTTGGAGCAGAAGCCCGGGACGGCCGGCCCACGGGCAGTATCTGACTCCTCACGCTTCCCTATGATTTCACTTATATGTGGTACCTACAATAATCAAATTTATAGAGACAAGAAGTAGGACAGTGTTTACCTGGAGCTGGGACAAGACAGGACTGGAGAGTTCCTGTTGAATGGGTGCAGAGTTTCAGTCTGGGGTGACGAAAACATTCTGGAGATGGATGGTGGTGATGGTTGCACAACAATGTAAATGTGTTAAATGCCAATGAACTTTATACTTAAAATAGGCTAAAATGATAAATTTTCTGTTATGTATATTACCACAATTAAAAAATGGAGTATTGTAAAGAAAGAATGTGTAAACACTGAGAGCAAACCAAAGTGTTTCCGAGAAACAAGTGGACTCTGTGTGCCTGGATTCAAATTTTGATTCTGCAACTTACTAGCTGTGTGCCTCTTTTTTCTCCTCTGTAAACTGAGGACAATAATGAGGACTAAAAGAAATCTGTGTAATGTATGCAAGCTCTTTTGCATGTAGTAGGTGATCTATAAATATTAGTTTCCTTTTCAGTTAGAAAGAATCACTCTCTGATTTGAACTTTTTTCTTCAACAGAATTAAACTTCAGATACATTGATGTTCATCTTTCATGCCAAACAGAAAATAACTTCAAAGAAGAGATAGGGCAGCTCTCAGGAAGCAAAAACATGCCCAATGCCATGCTCATGCAGGAAGTGCACCCCTTTCTTATGCAAAGACTGAAAAATAGGAAAAGGCATCAGTAAACATAGGCTACCTTTGCTACTTGTGCTTCCTGTCCAAATTCTAGAAACATCTGCCACATCGACTTGTGTTTGATTTTTACCTTAAAGAATCTTTATAACTAAATGTACTATTAAGATGTGAGAATTAAGGTAGAACTTCCAAGTTCTCAGAAAGCTGAGAAGTCTGCTCAGAAAATTATTTCAGTCTCTCTTAGTGGAGTTCATTAGCACAGAAGATGGTTCAAGAGATATGAGAGTAAGATAATGTCATACTGAAAAGCATCACTATCACTGCAAAAAAAGAAAATTGGAAATTATTATAACTATTGGGTGTGTGGTTATAAAGATTTTTTTAAACCATTACAAATGTTGCAAAAGCACTTAGACATTTTCATAACCTCTAAACATTATGATCTTCCTGGATTATGTAAGAAGGAATTTTCTATCATAAGGGGTGTCAAAACCAGAAATGCACTAATGGAAAAATACTTCCAAAGATCTAAGGAAGTGACCAAATCTCTCAGCTTTTTTCTTTTTTTAAAGATACCAGCATAAAGCAGATGCAGCAATGCAAAGCAGGATACATGAATTCAGATGTCATCAATTACATTCAAACATTACCCTATCACACACATCAATGTATTTAAAAACTGCAAAGAACCTCAGAGATCATTTGTGGTAGAGCTAAGATAAGAATCCAGGGCTCCTAATTCCGACTGAGCTCAGTACACATCCCACTATATACACTTGTGCTCCAGCAGCACAGAGCTGTCTTCAAAGAACCCCTGCTAACCCATCCCTGATAGATATTGGCATAACAGAGCCAACATAAAGCCATTTGGACAATTCTGATTGTGATCCTCAGATGCCACCTCATCCAAACAAACCTCACTCACTCTGATCTCCAACTGCCTTACAATCCACATCGCACCTTCCAACATGTGACCACTTTCTACGAGGACTTGTGGCCTGCTTTTTAGCTGCCCCCTACCCCCAACCCCATGACTAATAGCCTCTCTTTAACTCTGAAGTTCAGACAATAGGCATCCTGCCTCCTGCTTTGCATCACAGGCATTTTAAAGATACACCCCCGTGGTCTTAATTCATGGAAAGCAATCATTTACACTGTACAAAATTCAAAACCCTAGGGAGGCAGTTTAGTAATTTAGCATTTTTGTTTCATGTAAAAATATTATTTGTAGTTCATAATGGGAAGTTCAAAAACATTGTTTCTTATCATTAAAAGCTTTCAGAAGTGTGTAATCTGGGCTCTTTATAGGTATGTTCCCTATAAAATGCCCTGAGGAACAGACTATGGGGCTTTCTACAAAGAAATACCTTCAATATCTTCCTTTGCTCAAGGAAAAGGTCTTTAATTTAGAGCTGAATTAGTCAAACAGATAAACACTTTAAAGTCCTTGGAATCTGCAGTTAGTTTTAACAAGCTTTTAAGATAAATTAGGAGTGTGTTTTATCTGTTCTGTTGTGATGACTGTGAATTAGAAAAGAACACACAAGCTCATCCATTCAAAAAAAGTTTTTCATCATATTCTGTGCCAGACTTCATGGAAGTTGGGTAACACATGGATCTTACCCTCAGAGATCTTACAATCAAGGGAGGGCACATATAGGTTTGAATAATGCCCCCCCCCACACACACACACAAAATTTATGTCCATTGGAAACCTCAGAATGTAACTTTTCTTGGAAATAGGGTCTTTGCAGATGTAATCAAGATGTACATTAAGAAGAGGTCATACTGGGTGAGGGTGAGACAAATTTTATCACTGGTGCTCTTTTCAAAAGAGGAGAGGACACACAGACACAGATACACACAGATGAGAAGGCCATGTGAAAGTGGAGGCAGAGATTGCAGTGATGTATCTGCATATCAAGGAATGCCAAGGTTTGCTGGCAACAACCAGAAACCAGAGCCTTTGAGGGAGCATAGCCCTGCCAACAACTTGATTTGGGACTGTGAGAGAATCCTTTCCTGTTGTTTTAAATCATCCGGTTTGTAGCAATTTACTACAGTAGCTCTAGGAAACTAATACCAGCCCCATCTCCAAACAGTCTGATTTAATTGGTGTGGGTTGAACATGGGCATCAGTATTTTTATAAAAGCTCTCCAGATGATTCTAATGTTTGAGAACCATCACTCTATACTGGTGGTTTTCAAACTCTCCAGTATCAGCATCAACTGGGAACTTATTAGAAATGAAAATTCTCAGGTCCCACAGAGATGTCACAAATAAAAAACTGGGAGTGGGACCCAGAAACTTGTAGTTTAGCAAGCTCTGTAGGTGATTGTGGTGCCGCTAATGAAGAAGCATCGTTCTGGTTGACAGGGCAGCTATGGAGCAATGGAAGATATTCAGCAAACAGGAAGGGAGCAGAGCAAGAGGCAGGATATTTTAGAAAACAAAGGCAGAGTATTCGTATGTTTTCCTGGATGGCACTGAGGCAGTGCATCTGAAAATTGCAACACCATGTGTCCAAACAACCATCTTCCAAGCACAATTTTTGAAGACAATCTGTTTTCAAATTTGTGGAGGGCTGCCCTTAGAATTTTGTTTCTGTTAGGGTATATGGCCATCCAGACTCTACAGTAAGATAATATCTCTACCCACATTCCAGAAGGCAGAGAATGAGGGCCATCTGAACACTTGAGATCAAAAACTTCATTGAGGCCAACTTCTTTTTACTTCAATTATTAGATAACTGGCTCCCTTTGCCACTTCTTTTACCCACAACCCAAAGAACAAAACAGGCCAATAAATTTCATTTGGCATGGAATTCTGCTCTTTGCCATAATCAAGCTATGTGAGACTACAATAAACCACTAACGACAGGGCTAGCTGGAAATCTTGTGCCTAGATGAAAAGCTTTGGTAAAATCCACATGGCTGGACTTGATAGAAAAGAAAATAACAGCTGTTTTTTTTTTTTTTCCCAGAGATGAATGGTTTAAGAATCCAATTTAAATATTTTTATTTGTTTGCTTGATTTTCAAACTTCTGACCTCAAGCAGAAAGCCTTTCCTGGCAACGCTGACAAGATTCTTTCTGCATTGCTATCCTTGTAGCCACATGCTCAGCTCACTTTCTCTTATGCCTTCATGGCCCTGGTAACGCATTTGCAGCTTAAACTACCATTTCTACAAGGACTAAGTTGTTTTTTTAAAAATATTAATTATTCTTATAGCTCTTTCTCTCACTTGATCCACATTAAGAAACTCTCCTGATAAAAAGTTAATTTCTCAGCTCTCACTGGCACTGGCAAAATTATTAAATAAACAAAGTTAGTTTTTGAGGTGCCATCCCTCTGTCCTCGAGGTGCTCATCCCAGGTTCCCAGTGCCCTCAAACAGACCCATGACTGCTCAGGGAACCCCATCTAATTGGAGCAGTCCCTCATCCTTCAGATTTTCCTTCTTCTCTCATGCCTCAAAGTATACCAATCTTGTGGATACAGACCCTGCTTTCCCTTAGTTAACAATAGTGATGATGGGTTAATGATTGTTATTTATAAGTTAGCTGAGGTTATCCTTACTAGATAAAGTAATATTTTAATGCATATTAAGTGGGGATATCTTTTCACAAGAGGAAATGTTAACGATAAGAGCCTCAAGTTCTTGCAGTAGTGCCTGTGCAATGTAGCTTGAGGGCATCTGCCTGGAGTCCTTACAGAGTTGCCCAAACTGTAGTTGGTGGCCCATTAACATCACAATCAACTTGTGTGATTGTTTTTTTTTTTTTTCTTTTTTTTTTTTTAATAAAAGCAGGTTCTTATGCTCCACCCCAGACCTCTGCATGAGAATCTCTGTAGTTGGGACTAAGGAATCTGGGTTTTTATAATCTATATGATTTTTTGGTACACTAAAGACTAAGAATCACTAGCGTCATGGGAAGATCCCAGATGCAGGGTCAGCAAACCTGATTTTTAATCTCTTCTTCACCAGGTACCATGTGGTTCTGAGCAGTCCATTCCACTTGTTTGAGGACTTAGAAAAATACTTGCCTTGCCTAATTTGGAGGGTGGTCGTGAGGCTCACATGAGCCTCTGAACTGCTCCATGTACTGCAGAATTGGCAAAAGTTGAGGTGAATGGGCCACTCACCTGGGGCACAAAATTTAAGGGGGTGCCATAAAACTCCATAATCATGATAAATAATACTTCAGTGCAATATTTTTAAAAAATAAAAATAAATGCCAAAAAAAATCTATGATGAACAATGCATAAAAATTTTCAATAAGGGCAGGATCAGTGTTACTGATTTTTTCCCCTTTGGCTTCAAGCTCTGACATAGTACAGCATAGCATTGTTACTTATGTTTATTTAAAATTTTGATGTGTGGGCATTGTTAATTTTTTGCATTCATTTTTATTTATTTTTTTTGAAGTACTTCCATCAAAATATAATTTTTCTTGATTACTTGATTACTATTTGGCACTCCCTTAACTTTTGCACCTGTGGCTAGCAACTCACAGGACTTACCAGTCTCACCTTAGTCCCAGCCCTATGAACTGGAATGGGTTGCATGGATGCAGGTTGTCATTTCTACCTGGCTCTGACTCTTCCAGCTCCAAAGTTTTCTCAGATAGTTACATGCACATGTCAAAAGGCCCTGCTGGTATCCTAGCTAAATTCTGGCTGTTGAATGGTGGGAAGTGGTCCTAAGAACATAAGGCAGGCCCAGCATGGGCACAGTGCTTTTCAGGGGCTTCCCTTCCCAGGGGCACAGAAGAACTCTTCATTGGGGAAGAACCAGTTTAATTTGTGTAACTGCAAAATCTTCCCTTTCTTTAGCGTGAACTCCTACAGCTACCCACCCATCCCAGGAAAGCTTGGATTTGCAAATTTCCTCATTCATAGCTTTCTATTTCAGAGGTTGTTATTTATTATGTACGAAGTGCTGGTTTCAGTCCCCTTGTGCTGGAGGCAAGAATATGTGACACTGGCCAGGATAGCCAGCAATCAAGGAGTAGAATGATAGATAAGGAACCTGAGGGTGAGGGAGGCACCTGTGATGTGCTGAGCAGAAGGAAGCCCCCTGCTGTTTATGCTGCTTCTGGATCCTCCCCCATCCAATCACTCAGGGATGCAGCTTTAAGTCCAGTGATGAGAAGACACAGGGTAAGGTGGAGTCAGGTGCCTGCCTCCTCCCATCCTGCCAGCCTGATAGGTCTGGGATAAAGCCTTCAACATCTCTCATACATGGAGGAAAAGGGGTGGGGAGAAGATGGCATAAAAAAAGAAGACCCAGCATGGGAAGCCCAGCTCAGCAGCCCAGAGGACTCTGAAATGCAAGAGTAATTATCTGGACTTAGCAAAGCAGAAGAGAAACTTGGAGATGCCCTACTCCAGAGCCACCACTGACTGAGCATGGAGCTGCATGCAGATGACAGCCCCAGAAGGAAAGAAAAGTAGGGAAAAAATTAACTCTTCAAGTCCTTGACGTTAGATACTAAAACTAGAGGCCAACAACATTTTGACATTCCCAACTGAGACCATTACAGATGATATTTTCCTTTCTTGCAATGCTTCCCTGGACCATATGAAATAATTTTTAGAGTAAAACGTTATGCAGCGTATCACATATCTGAAAAATCTTGGTGGGTATCAGAAGCTAAATAATGCACCCACACACAAAAAGTCCACATTCTAATCCCCAGAAACTGTAAACAAGTTGCCTTACACAGTAAGAGAGGTTTTGCAGATGTGATTAAGGATGTGAAGATTAGCTCAGTTTATCCAGGTGGACCCAATGCAATCACAAGGGTCTTTATAAGAGGGAGGCAGGAGCTCAGAGTGAGGGGAAGGAGCTGTGAAGATCCTGGCAAGAGGTTGAGGTGGTGGAGGAAGGAGCCTCTAGAAACTGAAAAGGGTAAATAAAGGAACCAATTCTCCCCTGAAGCCTTGAGAAGGAACACAGCTCTGCCATCATCTGTGAATTTGTCGTGTTTTAAGCCACTAAGTTTGTAGTAATTTGTTACAGTAACAATAGAAACTAATACAGTGGGTAATGGGTTAACACTGGTCATTCTGATTTTCTTTTCTTTTTAATTGTGCCTAGAGTTAACAAGCAATGATCTTGCTAGCAGTAATTTGGTGGCAAATGTTCAAAGCTAGTAAAACATTTCTTTTGCTACGAACCTAAAAGATGTTTGAGCTGAACATGGCATGGTACATGGGCCTGACATGTTGGAAGCACCCAGGCCAATGCTATATGCAACTAGGCACTTAATACATGCTTTGGGGCACTCTTAATTGGATTAGCAGCTGACCGTGGATTATGGTGTTCTCATTTCTGCCAGAGTAAGACAATTTAGGAAGTTGGATCCCAGATATTTGAATCATGAGTCCTAATGCTTACAGCTCCATCTCAAGAAAAGAGACATGGGTAAGGTAATAGAACAAAGAGATTCAGATAATTAACTTTTCTATATTGTGACAGGATTTTGGGGGGCCACACAGTAATGCCAATGAAGTTGAGTCACTCATAAGAGTTGGAATTTCGGGCGTACTCTCTGGTAAGTGAGTGGAATAACTTCCTTGTGGATTCCATGCTGGCTTCTGCTGTGTTCATGACCATTATGGCACTGGTTTGTTTATTCTTTTCAATGGAGTCTGAATCAATGAGGTCTGTATACAAAGAGGTCTAGATAATTCAAATCAAAGCCATGGCTGAGATTCCCTTCATCGGGTGTCTGCTGACTTAGAGTGAGGCACATGTAAAAGCCTTTGCATTTTATGTTACAGCTTCTGGCTCTCTTCTGTGGTTCACACACAGAGCAACTCATCCTTCTTCACAGCTAGATAGAGTCTGTAGTTTTGTGTGCCTTTGAAAATGAACTTCACTCCATAGAGTTAAAGTCATTGTGAAGACAGAGTTGAAAACAGACCCAGGGGTATGATTTTTGGATCTCTTTCTGAGCAGGGACCACAGGCAGGGGAGAATGTGCTCAGTAGCTAAACACATGAACTCTGGACCCAGCCTGCCAAGTTCCACATCCCACATTGTCACTTGCTACTGTGTTTTCTGGGCAAGTTACTTTTGTACCTCACTTACCTCACTTTCCCCATCTTCAAAATGAATATAATTGGACCTACCTCACAGTGTTGTTGTGAAGATTAAATAGATTAGTATGCATGAAGTGAATTCAAATGGTGCCTGGTCCATATTTATTATTATCCTCAGAACCCTGACTCTCCCTGCTACTCCACTAATCCCACCCACTATCCTTGCTGCCAGCACTGGAAGACTGTTCACACCTGCCCTGCTGTTGTTTGGGTTACTTCTATGATCTGGCCCCAGCAGAAAGAACTTGCTAGCAGAATGTCAATAGTATGGATGGAAGAGTCTGGTTATTTGGTGGCCATGTGTATCAAAGTAGTCATGCTGATACAGGTGTTTCTAGATCTCTGTCTTCCAGGCACACGGTAGAATTTTACTTCCTGGCCCTCTGTGTGGCCCAGTGGATCACATTACAAGTTCTGACTGACAAGTTATGATCACAAGCATTTAATTGTCTATAGATGTTTTAGTGTTCTTTTTTTCTGCCACCACAACTGGCAACGTTCCAGATAGTGACTTCTCCATCAATATGGTCCTAGAGAGAAAACAAAGCCCAGTAAAGTTTTAGGTGAAGAAAGATGGACATGTAGGATGAATAAGAAGTAAACTTTTATTGTATTAAGCATCTGAGATTTGATGGTTTGTCGTTACTGCAGCACAACCTTGCCTATCCTGACTGATACAATTATCATTGACTAACCCAACAGCAGAAGAGTCTCTCCACCCTTCAGTGATAGGGAGCAGTTTTATCTGTCATAACTTAATATCTAATAGTAGCAGGCTCTGGAAGTGGTTATAGCTCTATTATTTCTTACCCATGTGGCCTAACATCAGTTACTAAACCTCTCCAAGCTTCAGTTTTCCCTTTTTAAAAGGGGGAGTAAATAGGACCTTCTTCATGGAGTTATTGGCCCAATGAAATAAGTAATTAGTATTCAAATTTTAAATTCAAATGAAATTTCAATTTCAAATTTCGAATGAAATAATGAGTATAAATGATTTATTATGGTCCTTGTCCTCAGTAAATGGTAGTTCCTCTTACTAGCATGAGGGAAATTGACAAAGCCATGACATTTTCCTAAGCTATTTCTAGGACCGTATTATCTCTAAAAGACCCACTATAAGTTTGTGCTAAACATTAGTAGATAATTTGACTAAACAGGCAAATCCAATGGCCTATTAATCCCTCTTGCTCAGAGTTTAGTTGTCAGTCCTCTCTTTACTGAGAACAAAGCCAGGTTGATTATTTGTAAGCAAGTGCCCATGAGGACAGAAACTCTGTGTTATATTTCTTAGAATATCCTTAAATATGAAAACAAGATGTAGAAAATAACTGGAAAGAAATATTCCCAAATGATAGCAGTAGTTTCTCTTGGAGAGCATGACTATGGGTGATACATACTCGTACAGTACCCTTCATAGACCTAGACAAGAGGTATCTTAGAAGGCTCCACATATTACAATCACACACAAATTCATTACAGAACATGTGGTGCCTTTATGATTGAGATCTGGCACTCAGCTGGCCCAGCACTACACTCCTCAGGCTCCAGAGAAATGCACCTCCACATCTCCTGCCCTATATCTTCAAAAGAAAAGGTTTGAAAGTTGAGAAGGATCATGAGCTATGGTAATATTGCTTTGGAATGCTTGGAGCATGTGAGGAGAAAAGAATGCTGGGTTAAGGGAAAAGTCAAACTTGTCAAATCTCTCCTTTAAGATAACATAAATGCAAGAGATTGTTTTATAACAAAGTGTCATTTCTAGATAATGCTGAGAATCCTTTTTCCTGCTTCTCTTTTTATTATAATTCCTCGTTTTCATGCTGCTTAATTAGCACAATTTTAGAAAAGTTACAAATGGTGGCTTAGGAACATTTTGCAATATCAACATTTCATATTACTATCGTACATGTGTCGTGGTACTGATTCTTTATGTGGGCAACTAGGTGGACATAGAATGCTTACTATGTGAATAGTTTTATCTTTATAAAAATAATAAGATTTAATTAATGTTAATATACTGGATTAAATTTTGGCATCTATTAATTATAATTGTATTTTACTTTTTAAAGTTAATAGATAATTTTGAATATTTTATTATACATACATGCAGGGTACAACGTTGATTTTCAATAATTGTGTACAATGTGTGGTGGTTAGATCAATATAGTTAGCTTATTCATCATTACAATATGAAATCATTCTTTGTGTCCATTAACCAATTCCTCATTAGCCCCCCTCCCTCTACGCCTCCCCTCACCTTTTCTACCTCTAGCTTTCTAAAAGTTCAACGTATTACTGTGATTGTTATTTTCTTTCTTTCTTTCTGTCTCTCTTTATTGTTCATTTGTTTGTTTATGGATTCAGCTCCCGGATATGAGTGAGAACATGCGGTATTTCTCTTTCTGTGCCTGGGTCGTTTCCCTTAGAATAATTTTCTCCAGGCTCATACACATTGCTGCAAATGGTGGAGTTTCATTCTTTTTGATAGCTGAGTAGTATTCCATTGTGTATATGTATGTGTGTGTGTGTGTGTGTGTGTGTGTGTGTGTGTGTATTATATATATATATATATATATATATATACACACCACAATTCTTTATCCAGTCATACATTAATGGACATTTAGGTAGGTACCCTCACCTAGCTATTGTAAATAGAGCAGCAATAAACATGGGAGTGCAGGTATCCCTTTGAACTGATGTTTTTCAATCCTCTGGATATATCCCCAGTAGTAGGATTCCTGGATCATATGGAAGTTCTATCTGTAGTTGAAGAACCTCCATACTGTTCTCCATAATGGCTGTACTAATTTACAGTCCCACCAACAGTGCAGAGGGTTCCTCTCTCTACACATCCTCGCCAGCATTTGCTATTCTCTGTCTTTTTAATAATTGCCAGTCTGATTGGGGTGAGGTGGTATCTCAAAGTACTTTTGATTTGCATTTCCCTGATGATCAGTGATGTTGAGTATTTTTCATATACTTGTTGGCCATTTGTATGTCTTCCTTTGAGAAATGTCTATGCAGCTCCTTTTCCCATCTTTTAATTGGATGATTTGGTTTTTTGCTCTAAAGTTGTCTGAGCTCTTTATATATACTGGATATTAATCCCTTGTCAGATGTGTAGTTTGCAGATGTTTTCTCCCATTCTGTAGGATGTCTTTTCACTCTATTGATTGTTTCCTTTGCTGTGCAGAAGCTTTTTAGTTTGATATAATCTCATTTGTTTATTTTTTCTTTCGTTGCCTGTGTTTTTGGGTGTTATCCATAAAGTCTTTGCCCAGTCCTAAATCCTGAGCATTTCCCCTATGTTTTCTTCTAGGAGTTTTAAATTTTCAGGCCTTATATTTAAATCTCTAATCCATTTTGAGTGGATTTTGGTATATGGTGAGAGGTACAGATCAAGTTTCATTCTTCTACAAATGGATATCTAGTTTTCCCAGCACCATTTATTGAAGAGGCAGTCTTTTCCCCATGTATGTTCTTGGTGCCTTTGTTAAAGATCAGTTGGCTGTAAATACATGGGTTGATTTCTGAATTCTCTATTCTGTTCTACTGGTCCATGGGTCTGTTTTTATGCCAGTACCATGCTGTTTTTGTTACTATAGATTTGTAATATAGTTTGAAGTCAGGAAGTGTAATGCTTCTGGCTTTAATTTCTTTACTCAGGATTGCTTTGGATATTCAGGGTCTTTTGTTGTTGCATATGAATGTGAGGATTCTTTTTTCTATTTCTGTGAAAAATGTCATTGGCATTTTGATGCGGATTTCATTGAATCTGTGGATCGCTTTGGATAGTATGGACATTTTTACTACAGTGACTCTTCCAATCCACAAACAAGGAATGTCTTTCCATGATTCTATATATAGAAAATCTAAGAGACTCTACCAAAAAAACTCTAGAGCTGATAAATGAATTCAGTAATGTTGCAGGATACAAAATCAACACACAAAAATCAGTAGCATTTTTATACTCCAACAACAAACTAGAAGAAAAAGAGATCAAGAAAGCAAGACCATTTACAATAGTCACCAAAAAATAAGATACCTAGGAATAAATCAAACCAAAGAGGTGAAAGACCTCTACAATGAGAACTACAAATCACTTCTGAAAGAAATTAAAGAAAACACTAAGAGATGGAAAGACATTCCTGGTTTATGAATTGGAAGAATCAATGAATATTTTAAAAGAAGACTTTTGGAAACATAAAATAACTTTTTATTTTCCTATTTAATTTATATGTTCTCATAAAAATGTTTAAATTTTGTATACTTTGAATACAATTACAATTTTTTTAAAGTTTTAGACCATTACTGAGTTGAAAATAAATTATGTAAACATCTTGATTATAACAACAAAATTAGTGATTTTGCTGAAAGAAAGGCAAGAAATACAAAATCTACAAGTTATGTGAACTTTTATGTTTTTACTCATTCAACTGTCACCATTCCATAGGCAGAAGAGCCTGATGTGTGCAATAATACTTAATTTTTTTTTTTGCTGCTTGTCAGTATGGGGGTCTGAACCCGTGACTGTGACCTTGGCTGTGCTCTAATCAACTGAGCAAACTGGCCAGCCTTATAATAATAAATTTAGTTGACTGATATTCTGCCAGCCCTCAGACACATAAAAACCATAGCTTTACAGGTATCCTTTGGTTTTGTCATTATGAGGACATATTTGCCAAGGTAGGGGGGTGGAAAATGTTTTACATATCAGTTTTTAATAAAGAACTAAAGTCCCATCTATGTTCCAGCTTCCAGAATCCTCTTGAGTCTATTTGTTCATGGAGTGTCCATCCAGTCTCCCATGCCAGACAAAATATAGATTAAAGCCAAGGTGGATTGTCCCCAAGTGAGTGGCTCTGACCTCACAGAAGAACAGGAAGAAAGCAGTCTAGAGGAAGTGATTGATTCACCAGCAAACAGTGGTTTCATCAAAATAGGACTGCCCAGCAGCTCCAGGCCAGAATTCTAAAGTATTTTAGGAGCCAGTTCCACAAAGAGAAGACCAATTATGTCCCCAGACTGACATGGTAAGAAAGAGTAACAGAAAGATACAGGGAGGGGGAAATTGAGCCACAAATAACATCTCTTGTGGTGAGTTTCCCCTAGTTTCCTCAGCCCCAATACTCAGATATGTTTAAAATTAAAAGTTCTTGAACTTGACAGAGCACTGATTGTCTCAAGAGCAGAGATTCTTTGGAAATAACAAGGTACAAACACTTTCAAATGACTCCCTTTCCCTTACA